TAATAATAATAATAATAATAATAATAATAATAATAATAATAATAATAATACATTTCTATCACTCACATTTTCATGAAAAATTCAATTTTACTTGCATTTTTATAAACATTTACCTTTGCTTTTTCTGCGACAACGAATTTCGCCCCTCCCGGCCTGACTGTGGAAAAACCTTGTGCGACACCTCCCCGTCGCAATCTCAAGCAATAACGTCGCGCGTATCCTTATCTCTGCTCCGAATCGGCAGTCACTGTCAGCGAGCGTAATCGGCAGTCAGTTCGTCTCAATTTTTACTTTCCCGTATACATAAGTGTATACGGAGTAATATGCATGGTATAGGGAAAGTTATGTAATGCTGCCGAAAATCGATTTCGAAATTTCAACGGAAATACACGTATTGGGGTCTCCAGATAAAAGTATTTTTCTTCAAAACGACTGACTGTCCGTCTGTCCGCCCGTTCGCCCGTCCGCCTGTCCGCCCGTCCGCCCGTCCGCCCGTCCGCCCGTCCGCCCGTCCGCCCGTCCGCCCGTCCGCCCGTCCGTCCGTCCGTCCGTCCGTCCGTCCGTCCGCCCGTCCGTCCGCCCGTCCGCCCGTCCGTTCGTCCGTTTGTCCGTTCGTCCGTTGGTCTGCCTGTCTGTCCGTCTCTCCGTTTGAGAACACAACTAGCTCTAAGCCATACCTAGGATTTTTTCCATATTGAATAAACCCCTGTCCATCAGGCTCGAGTCAAAGCTTCGTGATTTTGAAAACCATTTTTTAAAATTTGGGGGTACTTTACACGAATTCCCCGGATATTTTCAAAATTTTCTCAAAAACAGCTTCAAATTGTTTCTTTAAATTTCTTCTAAGAATAGAGTAAAATACTCTTATCAAAGCAACTTAGGTCCTAATGTTACTAATAACTCTGAATTTTCGAAAATTGCAAAATGCTGAATATTTTTCGGCGTCTTCCTACAACTAAAATATTAAAGACAGAGATTTTTCTTTCAAATTAAATTTGTTGTCCCTAATTAGTTCTTTTATTAAGGTCATGTGCCTCTTTTTAAATGTTAGTAGTTTTCGAGCAATATTGCAAGCAATATGTGCAATTTTAAATAAAATACAAAAACAAGATTTAGTCAAAAACGGCTCCAAATTTGTTCTTAGAACTTTTGGCAGGGATAGTGCAAAGTGTACTCTATAAGATGACAAAAACGCCGTTATGTTCTATTCTTTTATTGTTTTTTAAAAAATTATAACAATTTTTGCTGTCTCCCATGACGTTAAAATTTATATTAGCGGCAATTTGTTCACGTTATTGTCTTTAGGGGTCTTTACGCATCATATATTCCATGGTACTCGTTTCAAACAATAATGAAACATTTCGTTCATACCCCAAATACATGCATTCTGCACTAGTAACGTAAATTACTAGCTTACTTCAAACGCCAAGTATGAATATCATGATTTTTAAGACACATTTTCACCTTATTGTTTCATGTTTGAACGCACAAAATCTATATTATTGAACGAGGGATTGTTGTTAATTAGAACTGGTATTTTAAAGTCAGCCTGATTCGACTCTATTCAAGCTTCATCAATTTATATTTCATTGTCGCAAGAAAATGTTTGAGCGCAATACTAAATCTTTGTTCTCCCACAGGAGAGTCGTTGACGTCCGCCCAAATCGACATGTGGAAATTGGGAAGAGTGTCTGCTCAAATTGGCTACGATTGTACGTACTTGTCTAGGACCCATGCTGCAATAGCCGCCGAACAATGTTCAGACACTGAGCCATATGTGTGTGAATTATCGAGAGTTTAGAAATAGAGTTCATTTATCAACAACAAACAACAGTTCTTGATTTAAAATAATCATCATCATTGATCATAATTTTTACATTTCTTATATCATAATATCTATGATTTACCTACATCACCTACCAGAACAATAGTAGTAAGTAAATATAAAAAAAATATGTTCTATATTATAAATATCATTTGTATAGGATTTGAAAGATTTCAAGAACTGAAATGTTCTGTGAATAATAAACAGTAATTTTTACCTCTATTCAGAGTATTTATTTTTGGCAGATTTTTCCTTTACAGAAAATCAAACCAACAAATCATTTCAAGGAAGGTTCTTAGCGCAGAAATGAATTAATTTATTCCAGATAGTAACCCTTTCTTGTTGAGTCGGTGCTACCTTGACGGTTTTCATGAAAACCTGTACGTTCTAAACACTTTTAATCTTCATTTAATGCACGTTTCTTGGCAGTCGCGGCGGCGGACGTAAAATACACTTTTGCTAACCTGATAGATCCGCGTGCACGCTGCTACGGAGTTTTATACGGTCATGAGCTATTCAAGGTGGTCCTGACGTCTAACCAATCTTTTTTCCAAATGACTACCCATATTTGTACTGGCAGTAAATACGACTGTTATTTATATTTGTTAACAGTTATACGACTGTTATAGTAAACTTAAGTCATTGGTTCCGTTTCACTTACATTAGAAACAAGCCCAATACGATTCGGTTCTGATGAACTCCCAACCATGGAAATAGTGAACGTAGGAAATACATTGTTGAAATTTTCAGTTCATCGTATGAATTATTTTGCTCTATCTCTGAATTAAAAAAATAAACAATTGTGGAGAAAATCTACTTAATTTTGAGATAATCCAATATTGTGAACTTCTGACATAACGAACCAATATGTTACTCTCTGGTAGTTCACTGCAACTGAAGTCGGCTGTATTGGATAAGCGCAATATACGTATTTACACACAAGCGCAACTCCGTGTTAAATGGCCAAAGGCGACGTGTTGATCAGCAACTCTAGCGATCCACGCGGCTATCAAAGAATACTTCGCCGCCTTAGATTTCGTAATACCACGGGGTAAGATATACCACGCATCGTTGTACTAAATCTAACAAAAATTTTCTTTAAATATATTTTTTAATTTATTTATGAATATAATGAAAACAAGTGAAGTAGAAGTTTTGAACAATTTTAAGGAAAATATTATTTAAATCTAATGAATATTGTCCATTGAAAGTGAATAGTGGAATCATGAAGAAGAACAAATATTTTCAAATTGTTCATGAAACTATCTAAAAGTGTAAGTAATCTATGTACTAAATAATGGTATTTAGAAGGTTCATTTCTTCATTACTGAATGCAATAATAGATAAGAAGTTTCGGATTCAGGGGAAAAGTTTTATTACAAAGGATGTTTGAGGATGTACATTATCATTTTAATAAATATTAAAACGGTTATTGTAGTGGTTCATTATTTCTTAACATAACGGAGAACTACAAGATATCTGCAAATACCATTGAATTTATTCAACTCGCAGATCGGGCGTTCGTAGCAAAATTCTTTAGTAACGTATTACTCCAGAATCCAAAACTTATTAAATGTTGCATTCGATTGTGAAGAAATTAAGCGTTTATCCAATGGTGTTCAATTTGCTCCTTAACTCATCTTCATTACAAAAAATTTTAAAATATTAAAAGAAGTATATAGACGTCAATCACATATCCCACTATTACATATAAACACTATTCATCAATTAATTGAAAAAGTGAAACTTAACAACATATTAACATAGCTCATAAAGGTAATACTATTATAATAATCCACAAAAATGACTACATTAAAAAATTGTAACGTTTTTTAGTTGAAAATGATTTGCCTTACCTTGACAAAGACCCCACTCCATCCTTTCACCTTTTTCTAGTTGTTTCCCGAAAGTTGACTTTGAAAATTGATATTTGTCTGTAATTGATTAAAGTAGGATTAGACTCTTGCCGTCGCGTGCCTTCTTCTCTCTTCCGTTCTTCCTCCCAGCCGTTTCGTCTTTTTCCTCGATCGCCTGGGTACGTCCGTTATCTTCCACCTCGTCTGCTATCGGCGCCTCTTGACACGCCCACGTTGCGAAAAATGTCCCTTGGCACTTCGCCGAATAACTTACTCGTGCAAGTTCCCTCGCTCGTTGCCTTACTTCCTAACCTTGCTAAACCAGAACTTTTAATGCTTCTTCACAAACTGGTAACTTTTTACTTCCCGTGTCGTTAATTAGAAGAACAACTTTACTTAATCTGCACTATCTCGACGACTGCACTGACTAGACGCTCTGTTCGACGCCGAAATACTCCCTACCTAGTAGTCCGTTGCAGCAGGCCAACAAATATCTAACTAATGTTTAACGAAAGTGTTGAAACGTCGCGCGACGCGTGACAAAATTCCTACTGGCTCGGCGATCCGGTGATAAAGAGAGCTTCCGCTTTGCGGGTTCGCGTATTTATGCGCGCGGCACCTGGGGAATTCTGAGTGGTGGGGCTGCTTCGCCTCTCTCAAACCCTCACAGGAAAACATTGCCTTGCTAGTTTGCCTTCGTTTAGTACGGGGCAATGGATACCAAGGACGGCGGCGTTTAAGAACTCTGGGTTTTTCTGGCGCCTGTATCCTTCGCTGCCTGTGGGATGTTCATACATACGAGACGGTGGTTTATGGGTTGCACACAATCCCATTTACCCACAATTATATTATATATATATATAATATTATATATAATATATATATTATATTATAATATATATCAATGTTATCTAGCACGTTTAGATTGGACCATCATATATGTACATTTTTTATGCCTGTTTTTTATTGGA